GGGTCAGAACATGTGATAATGTCCTTCAGAGTGAGTAGATCTTTAAAAAAATTATTACGTATTACTCATTGTACTAACTATTATTATAGTATCGGATTTTGCGATTGAAATATTACTCATTATTTTAATGAGCGAGACCGTTTTCGACCAAAAACGCCTTTCCCTTTTCGGTCGATTCATTTTTCGATCGAATTAAAAAAAACACTGATTCCCTTTACGACCAAAATCGTACTCTTCTCTTTTAGGCCAAAACAAAATTGTATGTAATGTATGTAAAAAAATAAAATAATTGGTATATAATTTTTTGTAAAATTAGGGCAATTGTATAATTATATAATTTTTAAAATGATTAAAAGTATGAGTTGTGTAAAATATATACTGTAAAATAATAAAATGTGGACAATTATTTAAAATAGCTACCTATCTATATATAAACATAATTTTTATGTTGATATGTCACAAACCTACTCATGTGGTTTAAATTTTATTTTTTTACATAATATACATATTACATATAATGACATATTAACATAAAAATAATGTTAATATTTAGATATTCTTATATTTTATATAATTTTCTACATTTTATTTTACAACATTTAAAGTATTTTATACTTTTAATTATTTTTCAAAGTTATATAATTATACGATTACTCTAATTTAATAAAAAGTTATATACAAATTTTATTTTTTTACATACATTACATAAAATTTTGCTTTTGTTGAAAACGGAATCGGTGTTTTTTAAAATTTGGTCGAAAAGAGAAGGGTACATTTTTGTTCGAAAACGGACATGTCCATTTCAATAAGTGGGTCTGTAAAAATAAAAAAAATATATTAATCATTTTAATATAAAGCTCAAAACTCAGTGCATTGACTTGGAGATTGAAAGATATATGAAAGGTACCTATCGATAACTAAATACCAATCGTCATGCATAATCATATATAAATAAGATAATTTAAAATTAGTTCAACAATTTTCTAGTCTTTCTAGACATAGGTATCTACCTACTTACTATTAAATTTGCTCATTCAGCATATGTCGTCAGCAATTGTCAACAATATATTTTTTGATTTTGAGCTATTAATTTACTATTGAGTAATTTAAACTATTACAATAAGCACCCATAATTATTGACGAGATTGCGTCCATTGGCGTGCGTGCTCACGGGGGGTTCCGGGTGTGCCTGAGCATCACCAGACATGCAATTAGGGCCCTAAAATTTAAGTCCTATAGCATACTAATGGGTCTGTATTTTAACTAATGTTACTAGAATAAAAATATTATTTTATTTAAAATATGTGGTAAAAAAAATTATGTTTCAGGATAAAAAAAAAATACACAACGTAAAATATTTTAAAGCTACATGGTAAAATTTATTGTGATTTCAACAGTTATGAAATGTTATTGACTATAAAAGTAAAAATAATAAATATGTATTGCAATTATCTTAAAAATAGATTTTAGATCTAACTATTTAATGAAATAGTTTATAACTTGGTATCTACCAGTAATACAAATACTATTTGGTTATTAATAAGTTTTATTATTAAAGTAATAGGAGCATGTTATTATAAACTTATCATTTTTATATTAGAATATTAAATTAAAAAAATGAAAGTAATGTTTATTCATGCATTATAATTTATTAAAATATGTATATGTCTTGTTAAGAGAGGCCTAAATTAAGAAAAGGGCCCAAAAAAATTGTGGGCACCCCCAAAATTCAGGTCTGCGCACGCCTATGATTGTGCCAGATGTATAAGTATGACTTATAATTACTTGATCTAATTCATTAACATTACAAGCTTTCAATTCTTCTGCTCGGAAACCATTTTTCAATACCGACAAAATATGAATATTTTTTTAAATGTGTCAAATCTAAATTTTGAAGATGTGTATTTGGTAGGAGATACGAGGTATTATTTATTATTTTTTACTTAGATATTTTATCCCAATTTTCACATGTTAAAGCTTCTTTGTCTAAATTTTTAATAGTATCTGATCGGCACGAAAAATCAACTAGATTCTTTTTAATGTTGTTTTTATTGCTCGAACTATTAGTTGGTAGAACATTAATACAAGAGAGAAAAAATTGATAATCTAATAATTGTTACACTATTTCAATTATTCGTTGGGTTTTGGAAGGAATTGACAGAAATCAAACACAAATGAATATTGTCGTTGACTAATTGAAATGGGTGGTGGTGGGTAAATGTATGTTAAGATATGTCAAAAGTAAAATTTTTCTTTGATTGCGAAAAAAAATAAGAAAAAATGGAAATTTATACTCAAAATTCGTATTTGTTAAAATCTATTATCCTAAATATAAATATTGATAAAATCGTGAAAAAATTACGAATTATTTTTATACAATTTTTAATATTATAACTTATAAGCATATTACTTGAGCATAATCTCAGATATATTTTGTGAGTGAAATTTAAATATGAATAAAAACGAGGAAATTCACGTGTAAAATTATGATAATTCAAAAACAAATCACTGTAGATAGTTAAGTACTTGCATTTTTCACCAAATATTTCTATATAAATTTCCTATTCACGGTTTAATTTAAAAAATATTTTGACACGACTTTTATCACGATATACGTTTTTAATTTTGATTTCAGTAAGTTAATAAAAAAAAGTTTTGTTCGGTTAAAAACTTGAAAATTTAGCATAATATGGTTTCTCATAAGTTATTACTGTAAATATTTAAGATACTACACGATTTTTTTTATACATTTTTGGAGTTCAAATTTTGATTAAATTCATCAATACCACGAATACTTAGAAAATATTTTTTAATTAACAATGTACAGTCAACACAAAATATAACGAAGTACCGTGGTTTAACGAAAATACCGATACAACGAACTAAACTACCGTTCACACACTTTGAAAATATCATTAGGTATATACCTATATAATATGCATATCGATGTACATACTCTCGATATAACAAACTATCTTCTCGATCTCTTAAAATTGGTTATACCACTTATACCTCGAGTTGATACTTTGACAGCATTAAATAGTAAAAATTACCATTTAAGTTGTAAATGTTGGGATTGAAATTTTAAAACAAGATTTATTTTAATTAAATAAATAAATATAAAAATAGAATTTTTTTTTTAGAAATGTTTACTGAGAATTTGAACGAAAATATTTTTCATAAAGATTTTAAACTTTTTACATGGATATTTTTTAAATTTTGTAAACACAGTGATATTTTCAAAACATTTAGATTGATATTATGTTATTTTCTGTTTGTACAACAAATTTATTCTCAACCGTATATTACAGTAAGGCAGCAGTACTTAAATGTTTAAATATACGTAATGATGTTTGTCTTCACTTAAAATTGTTTTTCGTATAAAATGATAAATCATTGAATTCAAATTTAACACATTCGTTACGGTAAACTATTCAATACTTAAACAGGCTATAGTAGAGCGGTACCCACTTGCTCACCTTTTTACATACGCACCCATTGTTTATTTTAAACTGTAGCAAACTCATCAGTTATATCACTTATATCCCTGTTTGTAATTCAATTTATTAGAATACATAAGTCTTGAGATACTTTAAGTAGATTGTGAATTATTTTAAATTCATATTTATAAAAAAAAAAATATATGTGTATATAGCGAAGTTGTATCTCGGCATTACATATGACCTTGTGTTTTAAAATCAAAAAAAAATCATTTTTTTTATTGAAAAAAAATACGTATGTGAATTAATTTATTTGATGTTTGAATGTTTATATTTTGTATAATTTGTAATACTCAATCGAGTGTATTTTTTTAGGCGTTAAGTATTACCAGAAATACTCAAATGCATCATAAGAGTATATATAGTATGGATTTAAGCTTTTGCCCTACATAAAACTATTTAGGTAAAATCTATCAATATACCATATTATGTAGCGTTTTTGAAACATTTTTGTCATGGGCTCCACCAAATTTAATGTAAAACTGTCAAACACCTTCTCCCTAAGTTTTAGAATTATTTTTTACCCAAAATAATTTGTAATCTTAAAAAAAAAAAGGTATATAGATATAGATCCACAGCCCGATGACTGATCTATTGACAATGAAGTCAAATTAACTAATTTACATTAACTAATATCATTAATATTATGATCAGCTATCGTTTAAAATGTATTTTTCATTCGAGTACACTGTTTATCAAAATAGTAAACGTTTTACTTAAACGTACGTGTCGATATTCTGATCGATAGTTATTATTATCAACTCGAAACTCAAGAAGCAAAGTATTGTAATGACGTAATGCCACGAGCACTATTATTATAATTTACTTTATATTTATTGTTATTTAGTTGAAATTTGTAATTATCAACTTTCTTATTATATTTTTCGTCAAAATTATTTTTAATATTTTTATATGTGGATAAATAATAAGTTAAATTTACAATTATTTCTTATCTAGATTAGAAACATGTTAACTAAAACAAATAAGTCATCTATGAATAATTTAAACACTACTTATCTATATAAAAATATCTCATACTTTTAATTTTTGTAATGATTAGTCAACTGCAATTCAAACATCTAATACTATTGATTGAATATACTTAACAGTTACTATAAAAAGTGATGAATACTTAATATTATACTTGAGTTTTCTTGACGTGAACAAATTTTTTAATAGAAAAATGTTCGATTTTAGATTAACCGATTGTGTCAACTTTGTATATTATATAATAATATAGTGGTAAAAATTTAAGGTATGGTTATATTTATATAGATACAATCTCGTTAAGTAAATTACGTTATATCTGCGAATTAAGAATCGAGAGTGCGCATTGCATTAATTTTTCCTCTATAATGCTCTCGAATATTTTATAATCTATAAATTAAAATAATATTATTAATAGACGGTCATATGGTTATCATTTAAAAGCATACGCGTAAGTGAATATTAAAGTAGGGATTTCGGAATGTGTGTATTATTTTTTAGATAACCAATACTATTTAGTATTTACTCTATTAGAGACATGCGGGTGTGTATGAAACGCGCGTTTTTCCTACTCGATAAAAAAAAAAAAAAATCCGATAACTCGTAATGTTACAATAACAACTCAGGTACCTCTAATGCTTCTTCATTACTAGTATTGTATTGTATCACATTGTACCGCTACGACGAGAATATATTTTCTTGCGACCGTTCCAGTGCAGTTTGCAATCGTGCGCCGACATGATCGTTTTGGCGCTAATCGCCGCCGCCTTCATGAACGGTAACCACTAACCACTTTCCGAATGATTAATAATATCGTTCGGCGATTTATAGCATTGTGTGACTATTATTATAATATTTTTTCTCCATGAAATCCATCGGATGCATTCGTATTTATTTCCAAATTCCGTCGTTCACGTGGCGTGTGTGAACCCGAAACTATCGTGCCTATAATACACATCTTAGGCGATTGGTTGACGGTGGTGGCGCACACGCAAAAGTATTTCGGCGAAGGACATCAACAGTTGCACCGCCGGTCGGAGCTGTCGTGCACGTCGTTTTTCGATGAATTCAAAGTGCAATTATTCTGGGCCATGGCCGTCGGATACGGCATATACTTTGGCTTTTGCGGGTACTTAGAAGTGAGTGTTTTTGCCGCTGTTTCCTCCCGCGCGCATTCTCAATGGTATGATTATTTTTCTTTTACTGTTTTCGCGGACGCGTGACTTTCCGTTGCAGTGGAAATACTATTTGAAGGGACGCGGCAAGGAAGCCCAGTGGAAATGTCAACCGAATCGTCACTTGCCCAAACACCTGGTCTGGGATCAGATCAAATGGGGCTGTATAGGTCTGATGATGACGAACGCGATATCTGCGGCGGTGGCTACACACGTCAGTTGTGGTGGTTACAGTAAAGTTTACGTTGCATTCGGCCAGTATCCGTGGTGGTGGTGGATACTCCAGTGGCCAGTGATATTCTTCCAGCAGGTCGGTCGCATATAGTTTTGAAATAATTGTACACAACAGTGCGCGGGCAAATAAACATTTTTACTTTTCGCCTATAAATTAGTTATGTTTTTATTTTTAAGCTATGCGGATGTTTTCCCTGCACATCAGAATCTCAATATTTTGATAGCTATGTAGGTATATGCGCTTTAGGTATGTCACTGCACTACTGCAGCGCTCGTGTTTAGTTCAAATTTTCTGGTGAACCTCAAAGTTGTATATGTTTTTATATTATCATATTCGTTCGTATTTAATTTTTATTTTTACGTAGGTCCGGTACATGTGTTTATTTTTTATACACTTTTTACGCGATTGTGTTTATATAATTATTACATAATAGCTATTTGAAATCTTTGTGTAAAATGTAATATGGTATCAATAAAGATATAAATTATTCCTGTTATTCATGTACAATTATGGGAATAGTCGTGATGTTAATTTAATTCATCTATTAAATTCGTTTTTATTTTTATACTTACACGTGTCTAAAATTCATATTTATCCAGGATTACGTGACTTATTGGATTCATCGATCGTTTCATTCAAAGTTTTTGTTCAAGCATTTTCACAGCATCCACCATAGGTATTTTCAGCCTACCCCGTGGTCGGTGACCGCCATACATCCGTTGGAATTGATTTTCGTGCAACTGGCTATGGTCGTGCCAATATTTATTTATCCGGTGCATTGGTGTAAGTATATACCTGAAGTACGCCAGCTGTTACACATAAAATATATTATATTATTACAGTCGTACTTCGACCATATTTTTTCTTGGCAACAGTGGTCTTATAAACTATATGACCCTCCCAAATCAAATACATTTTCATTTATCTGTCACAGTTCCGTTTTATGGATTGGCTCTTTACACGTACTATCACGGTATCGTGCAACACTCGGGAATCACTTTCAAGGCGCAGTGGTGGCAGCCTTGGCAACCGGATTGCATGTTCCACGACAACCACCATCAGTACTGTCACGTCAACTTTGGATTTAATTGCTCTTTGTGGGATAAGGTCGAGAAAATGTCTAAAATAAGAAAAATATTATATTTATGATAGGAAACTGGTTGCGAAAAACCCGTCAATACTTTTCTTCGTTTTGGTTTTTTTTTTTGTAGATCCACGGATCCATGAGAAAGATTGATCGTTATTACAGCGAGCACACAGATTCATGGGGTTCCGGTCGACCATTGGCGGACTTGTCGAGCAAAGAACTGTACAAAGAAATCCAGGAGAGGATCGCCGAAAATCCAATGGCTTACCGCGAACAAATCAACCCATACTCGTTGTAATACATCGATAGTGATACCCAATAATAACTAATAATTTCAAAGGCTTGCGTAACTGTTGGAAATATGATTTGGGTTGTTCTCTTTTCTTAACTAATGTTTAATTTTCATATTATATGGCTCGTGACTTACATTTATTAAACTCAGTATCATTGATATATAATTTATAATAATAGAAATGTACGCAGTGTTTTGTTTTATCCCATCTTCAACTAAATAATATTATATAGTATAATAATATGGGAATTAGAAAATTAAAAAATTACTAGACTACTGGAGTATAGCATATGCGAGTTTGAGCGCTGTACGTATTTTGTGTTCTAGGTACTTGTAAATTATCATGTTTATTACTTGTTTGAAGAGAATCGATTCCGTCTGTGTTTTACTATATTATATCTATTTATATTTTAAATTTTAATATGCCAATTGTACTGATATTTATATTTTACTGCTATGATTAAATTATAGTGGAACAACTAAAAATTAAGAATATTTACTTTTTCTTTTAATATAATATAACTTAAATTTGTTTGCGTTAGTTGTTTTTAGTTATAGTAAAATATTTTAATTTTTAAAATTTTCATACAAACCTTATAAAATTATTTCAGATCAAAACTGTAAGATTTAAATTTTAAATATCCCTAAAAAATTATCAATTTTTTTTTTAAATACAATATACAACATAAAATATGAATAACAATACTGATTATTTATTATACATGAAAATACAAAAATTTCTCCAAAAATATGAAGTATAAGTTTGATTTTATCAAAGTAGATAGGTATGTAAATTTACTGAAAACACTCAGGCGATAGTAGAAATGATAATTTAAACGTTGGCGGAAACGATGGTATAATATTATAATATATATAATGTATACATATGTCCAATGCTCATAATATTGATAAGTGATAATCCTAAATATCGAATATAATTCTTGAAAACCTATTGGATTTTAAAATAAACTATACTTAAAAACAGCATTTTTTTTTAGAATCAAACTCTTAAGTTCTTTAAGGTTAGATTTTTAAATTTTATATAATAACAATTTTAAAATCTAAATAGTATTGAAGTAAAAAATTGAATTGTAAAATTAAAGAAGTCCATTTCAAGATTAGGTTATATACGACGAATTTCAAAAAGTTTTTATGGACAATTAGTTTAGTTAATAAAATTGACAAAATGTTGATTCTTTTACGTAAAACAAAGTAAAATTTTAATGAATATTTGTGTAGCGCGTTATTGACATGTGCTTGAACGGTTGTTAGTGCCATTTTCCGTTATAATATGCACTCACTTAGGAAATTGTCTAAATTGAATTTCCATGAAAATGTTTGATATTGAATTCCTTTAGTATAAAAAAATAAATATGGTTCTTAAAATATGTATCTTTCTATTCTATCTACAATCATGAACATAATTTTATTTATACCTCGTAATATGAATGTATATAAGAAAAGCTACGGTTATTATTTATTTCTATGATAACAATTTAAATATAAACATTTTTATAATACACAGGCAACGACCAAAAATCAAAAAAACAAGAGTACTCACATTAAGTCATATGGCATCATTTTGACTTCTATATTTGTGTAAGTTCTCGCTTACTATAGTTAGTACTATAGTTACAAGGTAGGAACAATATTTCATTTAAGATCATTAACGATTCAGAGTCCGAGTGAAGTAAACAACCATCTTACATAAACAGCGTGCTCACAAATTACAATAAAACATGCATAATGATTGAACGCAATATTGATGTCGTGTTAATTAAGTTACTTGTAAACATGATATTGATATTAAACATTACTAATCTTTATGGCACTGAATACGAAGCCAAAATCAAAGAAGTAACTAATGATATTGTTGAAAACATTGTATTGGTGTTGTGCAACCGGGAACAATTGCCTGGTGGGGACGCACCGTCTTCTGAAATTGAGACGATGCAGTTCAATAATGTTGTCGATGTCGATTCAGAAACTCGGCCAAGGTAAGGTTAGGTTAGTGAGGTGACCAATAAGTGTAGATGAAAATAAATGACAATGTGGACGAGACGTCGGTTAAGGAATGTGGAAAACGCGATTTTCAGGTGCAACATCCGTATCACGCCGTCTACGATTTGCGAAGGCCAGGATGCGATTTACAAGGAGATGTAATGTAAATAACAATATAAAGAACTAGGAATACGGACGTCAACGGCGCCGGACCCGCGAAAATTCAACATTTTAACTTTCAGGACCGGGATCGCATACTGCATTAAAATAAATTGGGATTTTAGTCATAAAGTCTACTACAATTAACGGGACATTGATCTAGAACTGACGTAATCGTCAGTAACACATCTCTGGTTAGTATACATGGAATTTAGGGTATTTAGAATCAACAGCAATACTAAATAAATGTTTAGTTATGTTTATAATTCCTCGTATAAAAGATAGCAGATAAGCTATAAAGGGGAGGTGGTAGTAAACTGAGAATAATATAAATTTAAGTAGGTATTACTATTTAGTGGTACGGTATAAAAAAATTAGTATAATAAGTGTGAAGTGTCTATAATAATAACGCGTCTTTCCGTTGAAAATTAAACGTATTAAAGCGTATCGGTATTGCACCTAATTACCATGTTGATTGACCAGTCTTGGTTATTATTAAAAATTAATATAATTAAATTGCTATAAATATCAATGAAAAAAAAATATAATAAATATAAATGATTATCTACGAAGAATGATAACTGGAGATATTTACATAGATACTACATCTAATCAATTTAAATGGCCGTTAAACTTTAAGTACTAATGTCATATTAGTATATAATTATTTTTACATTATTCAAACATTATTCTCTATTAAATTATGTTGACTTTTTAAAAGATGTAGGATATTGTAAAAATTATGCTTCAAAAGTGAATTATTAATATTGGGATATAAATTTTATAAGATGTTTTGATAGTACTTACTTATTATATAAATGGAGCAATGTTCAATATTATCTATTAAAATTATAAAAGTTTAATTATTATATTATAATGCTTAAATGAATCTATTGGTTAATATAAAGTTATTAAGTTGAAAAATTATTTAAATTTTAAATGAATACCCAACTTAAAAATACTTATTTTTATCTTATTCAAATATTAAATTTTTAGTGATAAATAATTAAGAATAGATATCTCATATTTTTATTGTAATATTATAATTGCGTCTAACTTTATATTTTATTTGTATGAAAACAATTCAACCAAAATAAATATTTGTTATAATTTATTAGTAAAGTATAGTAAAATATTTTTTAATTATAGATGGTTTTAGCTATGATTTCATTTTTATGTATATGTGGGACGTGTGTACATAATATAATAATATATTAAACATTATACTTACTGTAAAAACAATAACAATATATTTCATGTTTAAAATCTACATATTATTATGTATATTATATACATATGGTATATAATAATTTAAAAGTTGAAATTATTTTGTTATAAATTACATTATATTTTTATGTGTAGTTGTTTTAAAATAAAACACAAGTTTAAATAAATCAGTGGTTTTAAATTATTATTATGTATAAAGTATATGTTACTGTAAAACGTGTATTGTTCTAATTATAATCGGGTTTGTTTTATTTGACATGACTTTTGACATCTGTTTTTTATTTTTATGGACTTACTACTTAGTGGTGGCCTGCAGATGAATATCAAAATTTTGAAAAAATAAACAGTGGTTAACTTGAATATTAATATATCTGTCGGGAAAGTATCTATATGTTTGATTATGTAAATATTATAATTTATAAATGTACATAGGTATGTTTATTAACAACAGTTATACCTAGATATTGAAAAACCATTTTAGATAAATTCTGTAATAATCACAGCACAGTTATAACTTATACAACTCACTTTTAGTTTCCACGTTAACGTCATATTTCATAGGTGGCTTATTGACATTATTATGTTATAAATACATTAGCTCATTCCCGTACAAAATGCAATCATTATATTAGGTTTATGCTAGAGGTGCTTTCGAATATTCCTCGTTGCCATATATTACATTATTATCGCGTTACAAGATTTAATATTCCGGCGATATACGAGATAATGCTTTCATCCTAGACACTGTCGGTGTTTAACTGGTCATTTCGTATTTCAATTTAATACTGTGTTCACACACACACGTCACGTTTCTTTTATTTCACGTTCAACTGTTGTACAGCGTATTAGCAGAGTATTTGTGAGTATTATTATTGCTATTTCTGTTATTATGGTATTTGTTTTTTTTCCGTAATGCTACACGAGTTGAAGTGAAGACTTTCCTATTAACACGTTAATAATGTTGGCGATATTAACCTAGACCGGCGTGCGTATCCGCCCTGAAAGCACTCAGAACTGCCCCCCAGGCGCCTCATAAATTCGCGAATCCACCGTAAACCTAAATCGAATATAGAATACAGGCGTACTGCAGCGTACATGTATATTGTATATACATGCACGGAGACAGTCAATGGTGTGGCGCTGGCAACGGGAAGAAAAAAAATATTCACGATATGTACATGTAATGTGGTCATAAATTATGCGGCGATCACATGGGTGGAAAAAAGTAAAAAAAAGATACTACTGCAGTGGTTCCCAATATAGTGAGCGTGTCGCTTACGTGATGATCTTTTGGGCGCGGTATGGTTGTAAAAAACGCGTTTTCGATAAAAAACCGGGGTTATTGCGCGCTCTCGGAATTGAGAAATAACCGGAAGAATAGGGGAAACGGCATTTTTATTTTTATTTTCTTGATATCCACACAATCTGCTTTTTCTTACTGGCTTCCCGCGGGTGTATTTCCAATATTTCTTTCCCGGAGACATTATACCGATCTAGCTGACCATTCCAACAACAATTTCCAATTACTTTTGGCCATAACCCTATATGTATGGCCTCACGCATGTGTGTGTGTGTGTGTGTGTGTGTGTATCGTGATCACTTCACTATCCACACAGGGCTTATAAGTCGATAAACCGTTTCAATTGTCTTTATTGCTATTGTTGTTCTTTGTTCACAATCAATAAGTCGCTTTGAAAATAAAATAACACAGCGATGATTTTTTGTACAAGTTTACTTATTACACACACACACAAATGTAATATATTTTATTAACAATACAGCTCGAGATTATCGGAAAACAGCTACCTACTGTTCTTGTCAAAATTTTAGAACAATAAGAACAAAGTACCTGCAATTATAGTAATACGCATTGTAATATTGTACCTATTGTTATTGAATCTATTAATTGTTAAAATATGTAGTAATTTTTATCCTATTTTATTATGTAATCGGATGGTTTGTAATGTTTGTATTTACTATTCACTAATTAAACAAGTGTTTTTTTTTTTTTTTTTTTTTTTTTTTTTTTTTTTTTTTTTTTTTTTTA